ACCATACCATCCTGAACATGCCTGATCTCGTCTGACCTCGAAAACTATGCTCTTGACACCATTCTAAGCAGGTCAGTGTGCTCATATCACTCAACGTTTAATGTTCATATTACCTTTATAGTAGGTAGCACTATCCACACACACACCCCCATTTTATGGATAAGGGAACTGAGGCACAGAGAGATGAAACGTCCTGCCCAAAGCCACAGAACTAAAAAGTGGTAGAACTGGGGTTTGAATTTTGGAAGTCTTGTCTCCAGAATCCATGCCCTTAACACTACACTACGTATTTTACAAACACTGGGTTACAAATGCAACCTGACAAAAGACCTTCTTTTTTTTTTTTTTTTAAAGATGACCGGTAAGGGGATCTTAACCCTTGACTTGGTGTTGTTAGCACCACGCTCACACAGTGAGCCAACCGGCCATCCCTATGTGGGATCCGAACCCTTGGCCTTGGTGTTATCAGCACCGCACTCTCCCGAGTGAGCCACAGGGCCGGCCCTGACAAAAGACCTTCTAACAAATCTGTAACATCCCTAAAATTGCTCCTGGCCTTTACCCCTTGTTCCAGTGAACAACCAAACATAGCATCAAAGTTGCCTCCTGATAAAAATAGCGGAACTAGTAAGGAGAAAACTTAGCAAGTGTGTTTATTTCCTAGGGCTACCACAGCAAAGTACCATAAACTGGGTGGCTTAAACAACAACAATTTATTGTCTCACTATTTTGGAAGCTGGAAGTCTCAGATCAAGGTGTCAACAAGGTTGGTTCCTTCTGAGGGCTGTGAGGAAGAACATGTTCTAGGCCTTTCCCCTAGCTTCTGGTGGTTTGCTGGCAGTATTTGGCATTCCTTGGCTTCTGCTGTGTCACACCAATCTCTGCCTTCACTTTCACATGGCATTCTCCCTGAGTGCATGTCTGTGCCTAAATCTGTCATTTTTATAAGGACATCAATCATATTGGCTTAGGGGCCCACCTTATCTCATAATGGCCTCACTTTAACTAATTACATCTGCAATGACCCTATTTCCAAGTAATGTTCCATTCTGAGATACCAGAGGTTAGGACTTCAACATATGAATTTTAGGGTGATGATTCAACCCATAACACTAGGTTTCAAACTTTCTTTCCTGCAGCAATTTTTTAATAATTATATTTCCTTTTGTCAAAGAGGTAAAAAGTTCAATTCTAAGATGTGACAAACTACAGGTGCAGCTTCTCAGCTTTAGTATGGCACCCAAATTTCACTGCTACCCTGACTCAGGAAGGACCAAATCCATTGATCCCTGAAATAATCTGATAAGGATACTGACCTCTTCTAAATGACGGCATAAATTTAGCTCACTAAAGGCCATAGAAAAAACAACAGAAGAGAGATTAGATGGCTTGGGTACTCCTTCTGGCTCTGCCACTGACTTGCCCTGGTTCGAGGGGTAGAGCTCTTTTTTCTCATATAAGTTTTCTGGTCATAAAACAGATTTTGCCTCCACTTTTAGCCTCCTCAAATGTTAGTCTTAAATGGTGACCTCTAAGTTTAGGGGAGAATTACCTGGAAACTTAAACGTATATGAAACAGGGTACCTCAAAAAGTTCATGGAAAAATAAAATTAAAAGATAATATGGGCAGGCCGGTTTGCTCAGTTGGTAGAGCATGGTGCTGATAACACCAAGGTCAAGGTGTTGATAACAACGTCATAGGATAATAATTAAGGTCACAGTGGATAACACCAAGATCCTCGTATGGGCCAGCCACCAAAAAAAAATAAAGATAATATGAATCTTTCCATAAATCTTTTGAAGTACCTTTGCATGTATATATATAGCAATACACACACACACACACACACTGATACTGATGCCTGAGTCCATCCCTCCACCGCACAGAATTTAATTTGCTTGGGCATCTTATCTTTTAAAAGTTTCCCAGGTATATATTATCTTGATAGTGATGGATGTATACATATGTCAAAATTTATCAAATTGTATACCTTATATATTGTGTAGCTTACTGTATGTCAATTTTATCTCAATAAAGCTGATTTTAAAAAAAAAAGCTTCCCAGGTGATTATAGTGGGCATCCCAAAATGAGAACCACTGAGCTAGGTCAACCTCATTTTATCAGATAAGGAAACAGCCCCAGGAAGAAATCTGCTCATGGATCATATCTAGCCAGGACTTAGAACCTGTGACTCCTGAAGTACTAATCCAGTGGTCTTGCCTTAAAACCAAAACGACAGAAAATTACTGAGCTCCTCAAAAAATTAAAGAGGCACTTGTTTCCAGGCACACTAGATCTACTTATGCCTGTGTGTCATAGCACATACTGTTCCATCTGCCTAGAATAGTGGGTCTATCTTCATTAACTCCTACTCATCTTCTAAAACTCAGCTTAAATATCACCCAAGGTTAAGTTAAATATTCTCTCTCATGCCACATTGGACCTCATGTGTAATTCTATTAAAGCAATTATTCCACTGTTTCAGGGTACTCTGTTTCTGCATTTGCTTTCATACTTGCTTGCCAGCAACTTCAGAACAGACCATGTTTTTTGTTTTTGTTTTTTCTCATCTCTACATCCCCAGTACCTAGCAAGAGCCTGGTACATAATGGGTGCTAGAAAATATTTAATGAATTATCTTTTCTGCTTTTTTCCATTCCTCGTAAATTATCAAGTGGACGACTAGAAGCTATGGCTCAACTATGGCCACATAAAACCCAGAGTGGCCTAGGGGGTCACTATCAGTTCCACATGACTCCATAGGCACTTACGGTCACTTGTGCTTGGAAGAGTGGATTGCATTTGGCTGCTTTCAAAAACTCAAGGCAGTCAGTCTCTGCTACCAACATATCTTTCAGCAAGTAGCCATCTGTCCACATCCTCTTTTTCTCTGGGCAATTTGGTAATAAGCTATACCACTCTTTAGCCTATTGAAGGGTGAGAAATGTCATTGACCATTCTCATTCCAACTTTAAGACACCTTTCCTCCAAAGGTGAAGGTGAGCAACAAAGAGTCACAAATGAATGAAATACCCTTTAAACACTGGTGGGGAAAAGTGAACAAGTTAGCTAAATTTAAATAAACAAAGATATCTGGCCTATTCCCATTATAATATGTCTCCAATTAATCTAACTTGGGACATGAGCATTTTAATAAATTACTTCAGGGAGCCTTTCTCCAGGGAGATAGGACCTCAAAACCATTCCCACAACTCAATTTCACTGTCCATTTTATTTATAAAGAAGGGAGCAGAAACACAATATGACTTAGAAGTATAGACAGTATTCTATTACTTACTAAGTATTGACTTCCCTAATCTTTTTCTTAATGAGTATGTTTTCCTCTTTTAAAAGAAACAGAAATTTGGGCCAGCCCGGTGGCGCATTTGGTAGAGTGCGGTGCTTGGGAGCGCGGTGGCGCTCCCGCCGAGGGTTCGGATCCCATATAGAGACCGGTCCGCTCACTGGTTGAGCGCGGTGCGGGCGTGACACTGAGGGTTGCGATCCCGTTGCTGGTCGCGGTACGGGCGCGAAACCGAGGGTTGCGATCCCGTTACCGGTCACAAAAAAAGACAAAAAGGAAAAAAAAAAAAAAAAGGAAACAGAAATTAAACACTGTCAACAGCATGACCTAAACGATTCTTACTTCTTCAGTAAAAAAACTCATCACAAAATCCTATATACAAAAGATGAATTATGACAATCTTAAATCTTAAGGGACTACTTCTTTCAACAAACTATATTCTGAAGACTAGAGTACATGTTGCTCTCAATATTCTAATGAATACATTAAATAAAAAGCAAACAGTTCGGAGGAGGATCCAAAAAAGGAATTAGGACAACAGACTGGTAAAGCTGTCTGTAATGTCTTCTTCCATTAAACAAAAAGATAAATACAGAAATTTTACACCTACTTTTCTTTTAGAAAATTAAAACCCTTTGTATAAATTTTAACATATTAATATATTTTAAAAATTTTTTGGCAGCTGGCCAGCATGGGGATCTGAACCCGTGACCTTGGGGCTATAAGGCTGTGCTCTAACCAACTGAGCTAACCGGCCAGCCCCTTGCATAGTAATATTACACAATTTTTAGCAACATGATCAACTGGTTCTCTTTTAAGCTTTTGGATTACAGGAGACATTTGTTCAGCCAGTTCAGTTGAGCATGCCTGCATCCTGTAACTCTTGGCAAACAACTGCATTATCTGACAACTGCCAGCTGGGAGTAGAGGCAATAGGGGACCAGGATCCTAGTGAATTACTGTTCCCTGTGTAGAGGATTCTTAAAGCATATATACTTCACAGGGCCTGGTTTTCCAAAGGCTTGCAGTTTCAAATACTGACCTTGCAAAGGACAGGAAATGTTTCTCAGGCTGTAAGTCTCTGGTCTAAGATAAAGAATTCTAACACAGCAAGATTGCTGGCTCAAAGACAGACTGGTTACTTATTGATATGTAAAGATACTGGAAAATTGCAGGGTTGAGAAGGAATGTTTGCTAAGATCAAGCTTTGGTTGGTGGATCACTTGTCTAATGGAATGTCATCTGGCTTGTTTCACTGAAAGTTACCAGCCTATATTGTTAAACTATAACCCCACCTATGTTCTCTTCCTGTAACTTCCTGGTCTGGAAAATAAATGCAGGAAGAGAACCCCAATTTGGGGTTAATTTTGCAAGGAAGGGATGCCTCTTGCTTGAGGGTTCTGGGGAAGTTAACCACTTCGGGGCTTCTCACTGCTCAGAAGAAATGGGTTTTGAGTAATCCATTGTGGCATCATCACCCAGGGGAAGAGAGGTGACAAATCCATGGGGGGCAAAGCAACACCCTGTCCATGTTCCATTCTCCACATGGGAAATGTGGATTCTATTATTAAAAACCATGGAATTTATAGGTAAATTCCATCACTACCTTTGGCTACTAAGGCACCCAGTTTCTCCTTCTGAGCAATGTGTAAAAAAAAAAAAATTTTAATGTAAGTAATCACAGGTGGTTAATGTTTGTTTTAACTTTTTATTAAGAAACTAAGGCAAAACAACAGAATTCCAAAAAAATAAGAAACAGAATTCTAATTTTAATTCTAAACAAATATGAAATCTACACCAAGAACTAAAAATCAGAGTTTACCAATATTTATTAAGGGGAATGGCTAAAATGCATTCACAGTATTTATTTCTTCCTTACCAGCCTCAGATCTGCATCCCCTTCCATCCTGCTTCACTTGGACTAGGACACAGAATTACTTTCTCATCTGTCTTTTGCTACTATAGTCTGTAACTTCAGAGAAGCTTTGTCTTTCTACATAGTTCTTTATCTGTTCCTGCAGCAAATATGTGAGCACCTGTCTATTGAGCTTAGATGATGTATGCACAAAGATGAGTCCATCAGAGATTCTGTCCTAGTTTAGGGGAGATAAGATACCAATAATCGAAAATATAAATAATTTTATATAAGGTATAAAGTAATACAGCATGAGGTAACTACAGATAAAGCTAAGGAAAATAAAACTAAAAAAACTTCAAGGAAAGAGAGATTACATTCAGTTAGAGGAACTGAGGAATTTTTTATGAGGATAGCATTTGGGTTGGGTATGGGCTTTTCCTCCTAATAAAGGCTTCAAAGTGATCCTGCCTCCCACAGTCCCAATTGTGGTAGTCTTAATATATGAAAAGTAATCTTTTCAACTCTTTAAAACTCCTTAAGTTTCTATTTCTTCGAACTGCTCATTTCTTAAAATGATAAAAAAAATCAATACTGCAGTTTATATAAACAACAGTTTGAGGACAAGTTAAAATTTAATTATAATAGTTTCTATATGGTTTAGGGCTCTGTTTTTTTTTAAACTTTCTCCAGTCAAATCACATCTAAATGGCAGCTATGTCTAGTCATTGACCCATGATTTCAAATATTCAACTGGACAAAACCTACTTGCTTTACATGCTTTATCAAGTCTGTATCTAAACTTATATGAATACGAATGAAGGAGATGAAATAAATGGCTTAACATTCAAAAGTCAAATATTGAAAAAATAATGGCAATTATGAAATGATACCTATTAACCACAGAATTCATTGTATGAAAAGTTTTAATGAATTATGAGCCATTGACCATTACAGACTTTAAGCCTTAATATTTCTTTTCTATGTAAAACCAGGTAATGAAAACAGCCTATCTTGAGTATGACAGAAGACCACAGTATGAATAACAGTAACAGTAATGTTTGCTTCCACATCTGCATGCTTCATTAAAGAACCAAAGAAAGTGCTCTCAAGTATCCCAAATCAACAAATTCAATTACACATTTTTTCCTGATCAGAGTTTCAGTTGAAACACAACAAATACTACTTTACCTTTTAATAGCACTTTTCATCCTTAGCACAAGCACTTTCCCGTTATTTTCTCCTTTACCATCAATATCCTTGTGAGGTAGTGAAGGGAGGGAGCAAGGTTTTTTTTTCCATTTTGCAGATGAGAAAACTCAAGGTGAATTTTAGATAAATGGTTCTCAACCTTGGCAGCATACTGAAATCACCAGAAAGTTTAAAAAAATCCTTATGGCCAGGTCATATCCTAGACAAATATCAGAATCTTCGGGTATGGGACCCAAGCATCAACACTTTTTAAAACACACTTCAAACTGACTCCAAAGGACAGCCAACATTGAGGACCACTGGTTTAGATGATTTATACTCAATCTTCAAGTGCAACTGTCTTCTACCTAAATGTGCTCAGCACCAATGAAAAAGACTCCATTTCCTTGAACAATGTAGCAGTTTGTTTTAATATTCTGTACACTACTATTGGTCTCTAGTAACAAATTTATCAGGTTATAAATGAAGGCTCTTCATTCCCCAGATACTCATGCTAACCATGAACCTCCATTTTACAAAGTTTGCAAATGGGATATTAGAGAACTTAAATCTTTGAGATCAGAATGGCTTGTCACTAAATATTTAGGCAATATTTGATTCCAGGTTTAATGGGTAATAATGTGTTTCTGTTTTCCATTCAGCACCTTCAAAACTTTGTTGCAAATGAATGTTTACTAACAAGACAAAAACAGAAGTTATAAACAAAACTCTCAGCAAAGGCTCTTGGAATTGGCCATATCACAATCTGAACAAGTACTTAAAGGACTTTATCATCCCAATCCAGTTTTCGCCTTTAACCAAATTTTAAACTTTGCCAAATCAAGTTGTTCTATACCAAGAAAATTCAATTTCTGTATCAGCTATATTCTCTAATACATTTAATATATAATTTTATTCTGTACAAGGAAATTTCTTTTTGACATGGATATAGAAAAAATCCTTAACAAATTTCACCTTTTCAAGCAACATATCAAATACACAATAAATATTTGTAAACTTTTCAGGTGGCAACACTAAATCTTTGTTCTATGGCTGAAATCCCCTGCTTCATAGGAGTATTAATAATTTTAACTCTCAAGGAACAACCCAAGAAACCCAGCCAGCTGCTTGCTGTCCCTAATTTTATTAGATTAAAAGAAAAAAAAAATAGCAATAACCTAAAAAGTACAATGATTTCACCTGCTTCATTGATTCTTACGTATCCGAAACCATACAATTCATACTTTCATGTAGAAAGATGAGTTTGTTTCTCTTCTAACAAAAGGAAATATCACCTCGTGTGTTGGAGTATTAATTTAAAAGAGTATCAGTAAAGAGAAATAAGATTTATCAGTCAAAATAGGAATTCATGTTAAACTCTTCTACAATAAAACCTTCAAAATATTGCCAACCTAAAGTTTTCAGCACAAGGTGTTATTTTCAAGTCCCATGGGGGCAATTATCTATAATAAGATTAAGAATATCTTAACCTGTTTCAGGTGGGTAAGTAAACATTTTCTTGATAGCCCCAATGAAGAGCTAGAGGGTTAGATTGTTGCGTGATGTAAACAATATGAAATTAAAAACATTTTTGATAATATCTATAGCATTATAAAGTTACTAAATAAAAGGACCATTAATCAATTCTTTTCCTAGAGTCCATGACTAATAGCTTTCATATTTGAGGCTTATAAGAGCAAATGGCAATTTTCTGTGTTATGAGACACTTTCTCAGAAGGCAAAAAAATAAAACCAGATACCAAAAGATGCACGTTACATTATGTTTAGATCATCCTTATTGATATATGTATAATTAGAAACAGATTTTCCTTCCCCCAATCTTTAGCCAGGAGACTGAGGGATCTTTACTATAATTTTGGTCAGAAAAAAACAATTAAAAAAACCCAGAAAAAAACCAAAAACCAATAACAGACTCTAACAGCTATGGGAACTGTAAGCCAAAAATAATACAAAATGAGCCAATATAACTCATCTCCTCTTCTTTGTAGTTACCCAATTGTCCCCAAATGTAATTCTAATTTTGTACCATGTAGTGGTTTTTAAGAAATTGAACTAGAACAAAGCAACCGCTTTGTCTTTTTTTTTTTTTTTCAGTTTTTTTACACACATATTGTATATACAACTTTTAAAATAGCTGCACAATTTTACATCTCACTGTTAGAGAAGTGCAGTCCAGGCAGACCATGCTTCTCAATATATTAAAAATATTAAATAAACCCCAACCAGTTTCATACTTTTCTAATAGTCAAGCTGGCTGGGAAAAAAAGGGACTGGAGAAAGAACAGGCAGTTGTATGATGGGATCAATCTCTCTTCACAAACATAGTACTTTAAAAAATCTCACTATTTGCTTATCTTATCCCTTTTACAGCATCTCTAAAATCTCACCTCTGAAGTTGGAAATAACACATTGCTAACTTAGAGACAAAATCTGTTGCAATATGCACATGTCAACTGGCCACTCAACCAATGCAACCCTGAGGATTTTTCTGACTCAGTAGAAAGAGAAAACACTAAGATAATCTCTGCTGTAGAGTTGCTGCTCCAGTTTACAATTTCAGGTGTTTTTCAGGATGTTTCTTGGACATGCACATATGACACTGTCACTTCATGATTCTACTTTCCACAAGCAGATCTCTCCTTCACTCTGTCATTCATCCCAAGAAAGCCACTGTCATCCATCCAAAGGTTTTCCAAGGTAAACCAAAGTCACTTCTGTGTTGCCATATACAGCAGAAACTGCTGGATATAAGCAAACCTTTGGAAGTCCTCTAAAGGCAACCCCCAGGAACTCATATCCACGTTCAAAAGCTAAAGTCTTATCTTCCATGTCCAAGATGACTCGAATTCTTTCTCCTATCTGCAAACAAACATCAAAAGAAGGTTAGAAGAAAATCCACCAGGGGCACACCAAGGACACAAATTAAGAGACTGAAGATATTATTAAGAATATGTATCCTAAAAGTTATCTAAAAAAATCAGAAGGGAAGCTTTCTTGTCAGGGAGAAACATCTAGAAGAAAGAACATATATCAATCTCATCACAAATGCTTATTTCGATAGTTTTTTAAAGACTCACATGGGATCTACATTTCATTACTAACAATTTAAATGTTCCCCGTGAACACTACCCAGGTTTATTTACTGTTTGTTTAAAGGCTTTTCTTAAGAAGGTTGACACTAAAATCTATAATTTGGTATATTTTACAAAAAAAAGGCTATCTAAATAACCTTATCAAGTTATTATAGTATATACATAACAATGGAATATTATTTAGCCATAAAAAGAAATGAAATTTTGATATATGTTGCAAAATGAATGGACCTTGAAAACATTATGCTAAGTGAAATAACCCAGACACAAAAAGATAAATATTGTATGAGTCCATTTATGTGAAATATCTAGGATAGTCAAATACATAGCAACAGAAAATAGAATAGAGGTTACCAGGGGCTGGGGAGCAGGGAAAATGGGGGGTTAGTGTTTAATGGGCAAAGAGTTTATGTTGGGGATGGCAAAAAAGTTCTGAGTATAGAGAGCAGTGATGGTTACACAACATTGTGAATGTATTTAATGCCACTGAATTGTATACTTACAAATGGTAAAAATAATAAATATAATATGTTTAACCACAATAAAAAAAATCATTGTAATAAAACACTTACATAGCCTTTACGGTTTACAAAGTAGTTGCAAATACAATGTGGAACTCATGTACTCATGAATGATCAAATCTGACTAAAGATGCAGAATAGGCTTATTAGTCAATTTGTGGGCCACTGCTCTAAAACACCTGTTTGTTACAAAAACAGCAGCATTGATTGTTAAACTAAACTGGGAGCACAATATATTGTTATTTTCCCATTTAGAAAAGTCAGCGAAGAAATAAGGACATTTCAGGATCGCCAATTAGCTCAGCTGGTTACAGCACAGAATCATAACACCAAGGTCAAGGGTTCAGATCCCCACACCAGCCAACCTCCAAAAAAAAGAGAAAGATGTCTCATCTTTATAGTTTGCATCTATAAATGGACGTTGCATCTATATACGTGGAGGCAAAAATTCCTAATTTTTGTAATCAAAAATCAAAATTTAATACTTTCTGATTATGGTAACTGCTTTTATTGTCATTTACTTTCCTTTACTGTATTTCCTGTCACAAACAACTGCCAACATCTGCTGTTTCCCTCTCTTTGCCCAACTCACATATTAACCTACACCCCACTTTATAGACCTAAGACCTCCAAATCATACCACCACCACAGCTACCAACAAAACATGAATGATAACAACAAAATAGAAATAAAAATATTTTGTTGGGTATCTGTTTTATGTTTTATTATCTCATTTAATCCTCACATCAATCCTAGGAGCTATCCCTATTTTATAGAAGATGACGTTAAGAAGACAGAACTACCCATGATGAAATGTGCAAATCTGCCTCATCTCTGAGCACAAAGCATAGGGACCAGAAAGCAGAAGTCTTACTTTAGGTGTCACAGGGTAAAACTTGGAGATGGCAAAGAAATTAGAAACTTAGAGGAGGAACTCCAGAAGCAACAAAACCACAGAAAGGATGAGCCCCAAAATCTGAGGATAAAATGCCCAAATCCTTGTGTGACCACTACATAACACAGGTACAGGGGAAACCCCCAGGGAAGCAGGCTAAAAAAGCAGTAAAGCTGCAAAAGTCAAAAAGAAAAAAACTGAACATCAGCTACTGCACATCATAGGGGAGACAGAGTTTACTGTTTGAGTCTAGGCAAATTAATTGCCTACTAGAACAAGAAAACCTACACTTTTTAGAATAAAGCAGTTTCTAGAGAAACAAAACACTCCAGAGTTACTACTATATATTACCTACATGTCCAGTTTTCAATTAAAAAATTACTAGACATAAAGAGAAACAGGAAAGTGTGACTCATACTCAAGGAGAAAAAAAGTAACCAACAGAAACTGACTCCAACCAAGCCTAGATGTTAGGATTTATAAGACAAAGACTTCAAGGCAGCTATTATAAATATGTCCAAATAATTAAATAAAAATATAGTATTTAAGAATGAATAAATAGGTAATCTGAATAGACAAAAGAAAACAAACAAAAAAGGATCAAATTAAAATTACAGAGATGAAGAATACAGTAACCAAATTCACTAGCCTAGCTCAATAGCAGAATTGAGATGGCAGAAGAAAGAATCCATAAACTTGAAGACAGAGAAACAGAAACTATCTAATCCAAAGAACAGAGAAATAAGGATGGGGGAGAACATAAGGATGGCTGGTTAGCTCAGTCATTTAGAGAGTGGTGCCTATAACACCAAGATCTGGAGTTCAATCCTTGTACCAGCCAGCTGCAAAAACAAAAACAACAACAACGACCAAAAACAAAAAACACCTCTGGGCTGGCCAGTTAGCTCAATTGGTTAGAGCATGGTGCTGGTAACACCTAGATCAAGGCTTCAGATCAAGGCTGGCCCTTACTGGCCAGCCACCAAAAATAAAAAAACATAGCTTCAAAGGCAAAGAGATAAGGACAATATTAAGCAGTCCAACAATTACATTAAATTTAAATGAACTAAACACTCAAGAGGCAAAGACTATGAGATTGGGTTAGATAAAAAGCAAGAGCCAACTATATGTTATTTAGGAGACCCAGTTTAAATACAAAGATGGACTGAAAGGAAAAGTATGGGGAACAAAAGGTACTTTGTGATAGTAAGCATAAGAAAGCTGGAGTGTGTATATTAATATCAAACAAAATAGACTTAAAGACAAGGAATATTAACAGAGTCAAAGAAAGTCTTTTCATAATGATAAAAGAATTAATCAGGCAGGGAGCTATAATGACTAGAAATGTATATGCACCTAATAACAGAGCTCCAAAACATATGAAGCAAAAACTGACACAACTGAAAGAAGAACTGACAAATTAGCAAGCATAGTTCATTTCAATACTCCTCTTATAAGTGATAGAACAAGTAGAAAAAAAAAAAATCAGTAACGTTATAGAAGACTTGAGCCCTATCAACCAATGTGACCTAATTGTCATTTACAGAATATTCCATCCAACAACAGAATATACATTCTTTTCAAGCCCACATGGAACACTCATCAAGACAGACCATGTGCTGGAAATAAAACAAGTCTCAATAAATTTAAAAGGACTGAAATCATACAGAGCATGTTCTCTGAAAAACAAAGACTCAAGGACTTTCACTAAAAAAATCATCACAAGCACGATCTTCAGTGATTATTAAGTCCAGACACCCTTCTCCTTAGTGTATATGCAGAGCCTAAAGGAGAGTGAGGAAAGGATTCTATGAGAGAAAATCCTTTCAGCTTTTATACTTCAGGAAATGGGATATATTTTTAGTTCTTCTACTTTAGCATGTCTGACTTGAGGTCATTACTGAGGCTAGAGCTTTCAAGACACATGTGGCTCTGAAATATGCAATCTATAGTTCCTTAAGATTTCCAATTTGTTATCAGATGATTGTGTTTTACACTCTGTCAAATCTATGGTAATAATATGGCTTTTACAAATAGAAACTATATTGGGAGAGTGTAGTGCTGATGACACCAAAGTCAAGGGTTGGGACCCACATACTGGCCAGCCACCAAAAAACAAAACAAAATCAAAACAAATAGGAACTATAATATTGACTCTAGAATCAAATGACTATGGTTTAAGGCTAAGATGAAAAAAATAAAGAATACCTAGATTCTCCCTTTTATGAAAAAAAAAAGAAAAAGAAAAATACAGTTTATCTGAACTTCCCTGTCCCCACAGAAATGATGCCTCCAGAGGCTTTGACTCCACAAACAGATTAATAAGTAGCAGACAGTAAGTCTATATGTGCACGCACACAGGTGCACTTGTTGAGATGAGATGTCCAGAAAAAGAAGATTTGGATGTGTTGTGATATAGGAAAGATGATAATCTAGAGCATAAGCTGGCAAACTACTACCCCTGGGCTTAATCTGCCCTGCAGCCATAAATAAGGTCTTATTGGAACACAGCCAAGGTCATTCACTTACATTATCTATGGCTGCTTTTGTACTGTAACAAGAGTTGAAAGCTGTGAGACAAACCATATAGAGTGCAAAGCCTAAAACATTTACTATCGGGCCTTGTATAGAAAGTTTCCCAACCCCTCATCTAGAGCGAAGATGGATTGCTCAAGGTCATATATGCATTAGGAAACAAATATTGAGATAAGTCCATTTATACCACTTACTTAAAAATTACCAAAGACACAGAAAGCTGCTATATAAACATTTATAAATTTAAAATAAATGAAAGCATGATTTGACAAAGGCCCACACCTGAGAAAATACCATTTCTCACCTGATATTTTGGTGCATTGTTGCACTGTGGAAAACTGCCATTGACTTCCCCATTATGTAGTAGATTATTGTCCACCAGATTCCAGCCCCAGCTCTGGTCGTCACTGCCTAGCAATGCCACATAACCTTGGCACTGCATGGGGGCTCGTTTTGTGGCAATTCCAATCACTGCCACAGTGCCCAGGGGGCCCTCCCACCACACTTCCCATGCATGGCGGCCCTCACTGAAACCAATCTTGGTCCTTGCACCATCAGTGCTCTGAGCAATGGGGTTTCGATGTAAAGTAAAGCCATTCTTCTTAATGTAGACATTCCTGGAGCAGTCATTAGTGCTGAAGGCATGTTGGAAAGCACGTACCTAAGAAGATGAGAAACAGACCAAAGAAAGAGAAATTTGATTTTTCTTAAATCTCATAAAGTGCCCAAACTTCAGGCTACACGTTTTTAAATAATAAGGTTATATATTTTTAAGTAACACAATAAGTATTTCCAAATAAGGGCTAAAGTCTCAGGATGGGATACTAACATAATAAATTGAATAACATTAAAAATAACTGCCAACTGTTTCATCACTGACCAGAATTCTAAATTGTAGTATAATTTCTCCAAATATACTTCTTAAAACATTAAAAAATACATATACAAGAATCCTATTTTTAGAGATAATACTGGAATGTTTATAGATGAAATACTATCTGGGAATTGCTTTGAAACATCCAAGGTAGAGTGGGAAAGTGTATGGGATAAACAGAAACTAGACTAGCCACAAATTAATCATTGATAAAAGCTTAGTGCTGGGTATAGGGAAGTTCTTCAAACTATTTTCCCTACTTTTGTTTATATTTAATATTTTTATATTGGAAAGTTAGGAGATACACAGTTTTCATATCAGCAATGCTGTCATCAAAAATAATCTGTTTTATGTAAAACAGTTACCTTAGTTATAGCAGTTCTAAAGTTTACAAAAAATTTTAATAACCACAAACTATCTTAGATACTCAGCCTGCTTGTTAGGTATTCCTCATACAATGAGACATCACCACTCTCATTTTACCAAATCAAATAATCCCCTATATAGCAACTAAATTCAACCACTAGGATTTACAAAGAGATAGTCACTAAGAGCAGCGACCAGTAGGACAGGCTAGTTGGCCCTTCAGTAATTACAAGTTTTTTAAGCTTCCAAAATAAAGACAGTATGAAAATAGCTCTTCTGTACAAATAATGACAATTTCTCATGTTTTATTAATTTAAAACTTTTGGTTTGTATGTTTTTTAAAAAAAATCCCATCTTTATTCAAACTACCCAAAAACAGTGGAAGGCAGGGACCTATTGCTTAACCTGAGAAATCAACACCAGAATCACAGAATGTCAATATTAGGTCATGTAATCTAACTTAGGGATGAATACACAGACCTAAAAGTCAACAGTTAGCTAGTGCAAGAGCTCCAAAGAGAAGTAAGGTATCCAACTCCTTCATCAAGTGTTCATTTACCATTAGCCAATACTTTGCTGTTTCATTGTTGCAGTACAAAGCAGAGATTTTTTTTTAAAGTGCTTGTTTCAGGTATCCATGCTTTAATAAGTAGGCTGTAAAACTGAAGCATTCCTAATATTTTTCCTATGTGCTCCTATTATAACACACTTTTAAGCACTGAAAAGGTCAGAACATAAGATTAAATGAGGGAGGAAAATGTTCCTAAAATATTAAGAATTGTCTAAATAGCTCAAGAGAATAACATCAAGAGAATTAATTCATGATAAAATATTTAATTAATACTTCCCTATGCCTATTTCCCAATTTGTATAAATTCCAATTGCTTTTCTCTTTTTTCTCTTTGTCACACTGACACTATTGACAACCTCTTCCTCAAACTTTTACGTCATTTCCCTGGACTGATCCTCTATTATATTCTTTTTTGGAGACCACCTCTTCTTCTCCCCCAGAATTCTCCAAATTCAGTCCTTGGCCCTCTCCCTGAATTCTTTCCAGACCTGTCTTTCTAAAATAGCACCTTTATTACATCTCATTCCAATTTAGTAACCATTGATAGTTCCATATTTAGTACCATATGAACTGCAAATTCTTCTGCCTGGCTTTCAAAGCCCTCCAGATCTGATTACTCCTATTTCCCTTTCTACCTTAGTGTTATTATCCTTGTTTGTAGTACTGTATTTGCTTTCCTCCTCCCATACATCCTCTAAGACCACCTCTATGAAGCTATTCTTAACCAGGGCCATTGAATCCCCCTCATTTCTCTCTCCTGAATTCCTACTCACCATTGCCTGCACCACACAACACTTAATTCTGTAGATTTTATCCTCTAACACACCTCTAACCACTTGATTCTAGTAAAAAAAAAAAAAACTTGTGCAAAAAAAGGGAAAAAACTAATCTAATCTAATCTAAATTGATCAAAACTCTGTAGAAAATATGGAGGACAGAAGAGCATGTTAAGGAACACCATGCGAATGAAATCAGCAAAATCCAGGCTGAGGGTAAACAACCTGCTTTCTTCAATAAATAAATTGCCGGGATGGGAGGTGGGGGAGATGAAGAGTTAATCTGTAGACTAAAATAGCCTTAAGAGACATATCAACTGTTTGCCATGGGAACCTAATACAGACCTTGATTAAATAAACTGTAAGTTAAAAATACATTTGAGGGCTGGTCAGTTAGCTCAGCTGGTTTGAGCATGGTGTTATAACAACAAGGTCAAGGGTTTGGATCCCTGCACCAGCCAGCTGCCCTGCACCCCTCCCTCCACAAATATATATAGACATTTATGACACAATTGAATATTTGAATATTACATTTTTTATAAGGAATTATTGTTAATTTCTTCTAGATGTGATAATGGTATCATGATTATGTTATATATCCTTATTTTTTAGAGATGGATACTGAAACATTTAGATGATATGGAAAAATAAATACCAAATTAATAAATAAAAACAGTCCTTAGTTTGTCTCACAGTCTCATGCACAACCTGGATTTTACCATTTTAGCAAACAGCTTTAAGACCTGCCTAGGGGTCTAAGTCGGAAACTTAGAGAACTGTAGTTAGATGCCAAGTATAACTAGGATAATTAATGCTTCTTGGTGACCCGAAAATACGAACTTTTAAAAAGAAAACTCCTAAACAGATTGACCAAATCCAAATACTTTCCAGTTTTATGCTATCCCAACTTGTTCCCATCCTTCTCAATTGCCCAGGAAATTCTATTTGACTTCTCCATCTTCCTCATCTCACTCACCCAGTCAGCTGCCCACCTATGTGGACTGTTCTCTCCCAGCCATCAGTCTTAAGTACCTCTGGTAGATGCACTAACTCCTGCCTTCTCCAATTCGTCTTATGGCCTAGTCTTTTTAAAGCACAATTTTTATTTTGTCTGTCCCCTGTTCAAACTTCTACGGTTTCCAGCTTAAGAACAAAGCCCAAACTATAGACTGAAGGCTATATTTCAAGGCCCTCCACGATATACCTAGTTCCAGCTCACCTTTACAATCGCATTTCCCACTTCCTTTCATTTAATCTAACTAAATTATTTTGTATCTTTAGTCTAGACCTCTCCTCTAAGTTCCAACCTCTAGCAGTTATCTACCTGAAATATCTCTGACGTCTCAAAAACAGTGTAAATCTACTCTACCAAAACTGAAGTCATTTCATTCCTCCAGAGTCTATCCTGAGTGGTCCCTATACTATGTGAGACAGATACCTAAGAGTCATCCTTAGCACCTCCCTCTTCCTCACCCCTATTTCAAATCTATTTCCAAGTCCTGTAGATTTTACTCCCTAAATCTGTCAATTTCTCTTCATCTCCTCCACTACCTACTTCCGAATTGATCTACCAAATTTCTAAGCTCTCCCTCCAACATGTTCTCCATACTGAAGTCAGAAATAACATCTTAAAAATGCAAAATAATTATATCACCAATCCCCACACCTCTAAATCCCTTTTGATTACAATTTGAAATGGCTTTCTATAGTTTGGGTCCAGTCCACCTCTTCCATCTTATCTCAAACTGGCATCACTCTCTATGCTCTAGCCACACTGACACATTTTCTGTCCCTCATACTCATCAGGTTCCATCCTGGAAGGCTCTTTTCTCCACCCTTGGCCTACCTATCTTTATCCTTCAGGTCTCAGTTCATGCATCATTTCCTCTGAGAGAGCTCTCCCTGACCTCCCTACCTAGGGTAAATCCTCCATTACTGACAACCAGAGCACTAAGAATCTTTCCTTTGTGGTACTTACCAGATGTAGTTTTACAACTATGTGATTATTTAATTAATATCCATTTCTCACACTAGATTGTGAACTCCCACACTAGATAAGGCAAGGCATCCATATGAGTTTGTGCTTGTTTTTATTCACTGTTGCAGCTGCAAAACTGAGCATAGCACCGGCACTTTTTTTTTTTAAATAAAAATAAATGTTGTACAGACCCTTTGCTTTCCTCTTGTCCTGCTTCTGTTCAGAGTACTTCCTCTTCATAAAATGTTCAAGTCCTCCTCATCTTTAAGATTTAGCTCAAATACAACCTCAACCTCAAACCTTCTCCAATCTTCCACTTGTAAATTTCCCCTTTCATTGAACTTCTAGTATACTTTTTTTACATCTCTAACAGTAAGGAGCAAATTCTACCATGTATTGAAGTTATTTCTGTACTTTTTTTTTCTCCTCTACTAGGCTGACTTACCTACTACACTATCTGACTACTTTTGAATTAATCTTTTATCCTCAAGATATTCAAGAAAAATCCTGCAACATCTCAATGAACATGTGATTAGTATAAGTCTACAAAATCTACAGGGCACATAGTAGAAAGGCAAACAAAGTATTAAAAACTTAAGAAACCTAAAATATCTACAAGAGAAACAGTAAAATAGGTTGCTTCCAAGAAGGGGAAACAGGTAGCTGCGGAAGAAGGGCAAAAAGAAGATATTTTGCTGTATACCATATTGCTTCTATTGAAGTTTTAATTGCTTCTCTGCCTTTTGGCTAAGAACAAATGTATTGAAGTTTGACTCACATGGAAACGTTACCCATTACATATTATATAAATCTTGACTAATGTGAACATATCTATTACAAATCAATTACCAAAAAAAGTCTTAATTTAAAACAAGTAAAAACAATAAACTTTATGGAAAAATAAAACTTATGAAACCAACCATTTATCAGGCAAAGAAAGGACAAAATTGTAATCTTCTGCATTCTTCTATATAAACTACAAGTAGTTTCCATTGAGCATCTATCATGCACAAATACTGTGTTAGTAAATTAATATTATTTCACTTAATAGAAAAGCAATTGATAGTTGACATATTTAACAGCAATGTTCCTTATCTTGTTAAACTAAAACTTGTTTTATTATAGAATAAATTTTACATCTATTTCACGTGGAAAAAAATTTTTACTTCTGACCCCCGTTGGCAGTCTAGCATTAAAAAGGGATGTTTCCCTTTTTTAGTTATTAATGTATTTTTTACGTTTACCACATTCCAGGTCAGACTTTATCCTTTCTTATATACGCTCTTGGTGACCACTAAATGAATAGCTGTTAGCCATCCAACTGAACCCAAGCCCAAGGTCCTTTGCGTATATGATCTGGAGAACCCTTTCTGCCCTACCACAACCTGTTACTTGACATTTTTAATTTGTTTACGAAGGTGGCAGAAATATGCACAGGGATCTAGGAGAAAAAAAAGGAAGCAGCAAAACTGGAACAGCACGTTAGATGACAAATGAAATAGAAGAGACACACCATCAAAGTGGAACTATAAAAAAGTTAGCAAGAAAGTAGCCAATAATAGCAGGACAAGACAGAATCATGACAGTAACATGGTGCTTATGGGAAGTATGGTCCATTAAAGCCTGTATCTTTAAACTGAGCAAAATGCCTAGGACCACACTCAGTTGTAAGCCTGAAATACAGTGGAGGAAACTAGAGAGAAGTTGGGCGAAAATAAAAATGGTTATAATCAGAGCTTGGAAAAGGTGAGGTGAATGTGGGGTGAAAACAAAAATCTTAGAAACTAAGCCCATTTTAAAAAGGAGATTATCTAATATAATAAAGTCTATTGGAGTCCAGGGAGAAAAATAGGATGAGAGTATTAAAAGGTACAGTAGTGGTGGTCTGTCTTTAAGGCGAAAGCCTGTCAAAAGTAGAATGAGTGATGGGAAAACCATCTAGTCTTTTATAAAGTGGATCACGGAAGTGGGGTTGGTTAAAGAGCCGAACTTCAAAGATAAGAAGATCTTTATGGAGGGGAGAGGTGAGGAAAGTATTGACTGAAGCCGCGGAAAAGCGGGATGGTGAGGCGAGGCGCCTGATTCAGAAGCTTAGATGGGAAGCACTGAAAGCGGCGCCGAGGAGCGGGACTGGGGGCAGCGGTGTGGCCCAGGACTCCCTCACCTTGGCCTTGTAGCTGGGCAGGTTGCAGAGGATGTCCGTGCGCAGAGCCTCTTCTGCCAGGCTGCGGGCGCACAGGCTCCGCCACACCTCGCTGTTCTCATCGCCGTGCAGGCAGCGGTACCAGTGCTTGCACACTAGGGCGCAGCTCCGCAGCTCGGACAGCTCCAGGTAGGAGAACACCAACTCCAGCACCCGGCTTGGCAGCCGGCCCCCGGCCCCCGCGGACCCAGAGCCGGAG